CTTTACTAAATTACAGATGTTCTTTATACCTAATATTCATTACTGAATGTGGCATTTAATGCTAAGGAAATAAGACGCATACTTAAGACAGAAGTGAAATTAACTGCCGACATTATTCAGTTAATATTTCGGCAAGAGATGTAATAAAAAGTTTCTACATTTCTACGACAAAATCACAGTACTGCGCTTCATTAAATGAAGCTGACCATGAAGTCACGTCTAATTCAAACCATGTCGTCGCAAATGGCCGACTGCGCTCGCGCAAAATATGAAAGCAAGGCAAATTGCTGCGGGTATCGGTCACTGTTAGCAATTGACGAACTGTTACTATTGAACAGATCTATCTTAGGTTTTTTTGGATCTGTATTACCTTGGAACATTTGTTACTATAGTCTGTAAGCCTTGGCCGATCACAAATATGATTGAGAATAAAATACGTGGAAGAGAGTACGAAATGTATTTACAGCAATTTGCAACAACAAATACATATTGCTACAAACATTCTCGCATTTGAACATCTTCATATTCCTGGTAGAATACATCCGAATGGGTATCAAAGTCGGTGTTATCAAAGATTGATACTAATTTATATGCGCAGCGGACAAAGTTATAAATGCTTGTCCCCAACATTGAGTCACTAAGGCAGGCCAACAAAACGGAATAAAAATATTAAGTGTACTTGTGTTTCTTCTAATAAAAATGGAAGTAAATTAGTTTGCTACTCCGCGAACCCAGCGAAGATTAAATCGTGCAAAATAGCTGCGCTTGTGTTGAATATTCTTTCATGCAGTTAATTATCCCACCCTCCCTCAGGCGTTACTTTGCGGTAGTCCATGTACCGCAAAGTAACGCCTGAATCGATTAATTACTTGTGTTTCTTCTGTTACAATTAATGAGAACAAATGTTCACCTCTACAGAGAGCTTGGACATATCCACAGGGGTGATCCGCTTGAGCGCTGACAGCCGCTGCAACCGCTGCCGGGCCTGCTCCTCCACCGCGATGAGAAATGCATCCTGAACGATGTTGTGTCCGATGTCTGATACTGCGGAGAAACAAATATTATGAGCATGGCTATACAAATGGATAGAAACCTAGATAATTTGATCAATTAGTTTTTTAATTGTGTCGCGGGAAGTACCTGTTTCTAATGTGGGTAAGAGTGGGAATGCAGATGAAACTACAGGGACCAATTTGATGGGCGCACTCGCAGTGCCCCTCAAATCTTTGCGATTTTAAAGCTCTGTGTGGCGCTGCAACTGTTATGCTCATTCTTTAACTGCTGGGATTTTCAGACAAAATTGTTGTACCTATCGTCAAAGGTAACACAACATTCTAATCCCAATTCTAAATTCATGGTCTGTATTTTTTAAATCCTCTAAATACCTCGCAAATCGATAAATTGGTAGAAATTTATAAAAAAAATGCCAATTAACAAAAAGTGTGTCAAATCCCATTACCTCGCATAATTATCGTTGAGTTATAGTAATTCCGTGACGGGTTATATAAACAACATGACAATGAGTAAACGTCTTTGTTATTTTAATTGTGATGACTGAACGGAACGCAACTAGGGACATCGTTTTTTGAGAATTCTTAAACAATCAATGTTCGTTCTTCGTGAGAGTTCATTGAGAAGTTATTGTCTTGACATATTTGGCTTTTCAGTGAACTGTATTTCAATCAACATCATGTGGAACCTTTTTTTTAATTAGGTACATGGGCTTGCTCTTGACCACTACCTAGCCCTGGAGCAAAGATAGGGTCCTATTCAGTCACACCTTAAATATACTCGGATTGTATATGCTCGGAAACTTAGTCGCAGGCAGGGAATTCCATTCTTGGGAAGCGCGTATAATAAAAAATGAAGAACAGCACTCAGTGCATACTGAAGTGAATATCTACCAAATAAGGATTTAAGAGCGCTGCTGGCGCTGGTGGAGTGTAATGTAGATTTCGCTTGGAATATTCTGAAGATTATAACGTAGCCAGGAGAGTAGTTAGGCAGAGTGGTAGTCTCCGCAGCCTCCGTACTCTTGCTTAGTAAGTTTAACATTCAGAACTCAAAAGGGTAAAGAACTAGTGGTAATACATCCAGTTTTATAAATATTTATTCTAGTTTTAACAACGTACAAATAACGTGTTCGCTGCCGCGATCTGGCAGGGAGTGACCACAGATTATATATATACTAGGGAGTGACGACGAAACGTAATCAAATTAAGAATGCGAGGCAAAAGAGCTATGGACAATTCAAAATTTAAACTTAAATACGAGTGGCCAGGAACCGGAGAAAGGCGATAAAAAGGTAGGACGACGATGTAAGGTCACACCGTTACAAGGATATATCCTGTTGTATCTCTGGAAGTTCGATAGGCGGAATAAGCTGGTGGAGTCACCAGAGCATACAAAGACTTTGATCATAGTTCTCCTCTGTGATCCAGAGGGGGAAGTCCTGCAGTAAGAAGAGTAAACGACATCATCAAAGCCGCGGACCGTAGAATGATATGATTACCGCAAGACCATGGTGAATCGCTGTCTATAACCAACAGTGGGTGAAGACAGGCTAGAGATGATGATGATGCGATCTAGAAAAACATCCGTGCCAGATGCAATCAAACAGATTTATTAAGCTTTTCCAGCATTCATTTTCGCAATAGGTTTATTTCACCGCCAAAGAAACTATTGTCTATATCGTACCCTTGGGTTTTCGCGATTGCTACCACATTTCACATGAAACATTTTTCGGATCTAAAATGGTGTACATTTTCAAACAAACCAACGTTTCAGGTTCTTTGCAGGCCTCATGTCAATTGGAAATTTTATTTATTTGATTATAGACGAGCAGCTTTCGCTGGTATATCTACATCACATAGTGTTGAAATTTTATATCGTTTGTTATAGATTCAGTTCACTTTTTTAGCACTAATTCACTCTTTCGTAACCAATTGTCGATATTGTTTTTGAAGGCAAAGAGACAGCAAAAACAACGTATTCCGGTAGCAAGCAAATATGCACCGCTTTGTTGCTGAAAAAATTGTGCGTAGCAGGTGTTTCGGAAGGAGCACGAACTAATTTGAGATGGTGATTTAAAGATGTTTTGTATGTTTGGTGGATCATACTGACACGTAAGTCTCGATGTTAGGTTAAAAGTCTCCAATATTAACTATTTACAAAGATAATCGTTGTGGAATATCAGGAAACCATTTCCTTTGCTTTAATTCTTGGATTCCTATATCAAGCACTAATTTTTCACTTGAATCAAGAAAGGAGCCTCTCCGTAAGAAGTACTATATAACAATCAGCGAGAACATTACACCGATTGACAAACCCTTTCACCAAGTTCGCAAACATAACGCATAATTCTGGATCGCAAGTCTATGCCATTGATACGATAAGAAGAAGACATGTCACTAATGAGTGCGTGTCTCGAAGAAATAGAAAAACCATTAAAGACGTGTGAAGTTCCCCAACCCACCTCGCGCCAGTGTTACCTTTATACACGTACCTACCAAAACTAACATTCGAAACCTCTTCGAGTATCAAATATCCAAGTCATTCATATCTTAAATTACAAGTTCCTACAATGCGGATAAACCGGTTGTAAGGCAGACAATTTCGCACAGACATTGTAGGTAACTCAATTTGATATTGAGGTATACAATGTTGCAAAAGTCATTGTTGAAATGATACAGAAATGACGACAAAGGAAACATTTTGAATACCTATATCGAACGAACTTTATACTTCACAAGTCCAATTATTTCTGAATATTAATTACATGACTGTATTTACTTATACCATGCCCTGACACCTGCACGATTGAGGATGTAATCGCGGGTACTGTACGGGCATTCAGCGTGGCCAACTTCGGAGTCGCCATAATAGCGTATGCGGCCGAATCGATAAGAATAAAAAATATATGGAATCATATATTGATAACGATATCTCAAATTATTGAAATATCTCACCTCGTAGATACTAAACTAAAAATATCTTCAGGAATACACAAGTCCATCAAATTAATAACAAACAATAAGTACAAATTTCAGTAGAAGTAGAGCCCCTTGTTAAAGAGTTCGTCCAGGAAAGTACCTACCTTACCTACCGCCGAGCAGCAATGTGAGCATTACTGCGATTCGGTATTGAAAGGTAAGGGTTCTGGTTAAATTACAGGCACTTACATGGGACTTGTCAAGTTATGTCATACTGAAGTGAATATCTACCAAATAAGGATGTAAGAGCGCTGCTGGCGCTGGTGGAGTGTAATGTAGATTTCGCTTGGAATATTCTGAAGATTATGACGTAGCCAGGAGAGTAGTTAGGCAGAATGGTAGTCTCCGCAGCTAGCGCGCCTCCGTACTCTTGCTTAGTAAGTTTAACATTCAGAATTCAAAAGGGTAAAGAACTAGTGGTACTGCGATTCGGTATTGAAAGGTTAGGGTTCTGGTTAAATTACAGGCACTTACAAAGGACTTGCCAAGTTATGTCACAAGCTGACAGGCGCAGTGGCCGTGGCCCTAATTAAAGCTCTAAGTGGCACTGCAAGTCTTATGGATAGGCTTGTCGCTTATCAACAAGTTCACGTCTAGTATGTCCCGTTACTTGGTATTATATAAAAAAAAAACTTCTTACCTATTTGTATCTTTTTTTAATAATATCAAGTGACGAACAAGTCGTGCGCCTGATGGTAAGGGACACGCCTGTCCATAACAGTTGCAGTACCACTCAGAGCTTTAAATCGAAAAGATCTGAGGGGCACTGCCACTGCGCCCGTCACCTTGAGACATAAGTTGACAAGTCCCATGTGCCTGTAATTTGACCAGTTGGAGTAATGCTAACATTACAGCTTGGCGGCAGAAATAGGTAAGGTGGCAGTACTTCCCTGGACGAACTCTTTCACAAGGAGCTCTACTGTTACTAAACTTCCAATGTGAGCATTAATGCGTTCCGATTTTAATGGGTTAATGTACTGGTGAAACTGGAGACACTTGAAACTTTATGTCACATCACAGTGTATTGGGCGCAGTGACAATACCGCTGACATACTTGCGATTTAAAAAAGCTTTGAGTGACACCGCAACTTGTAATTAGCCATACCTACGGTAGCTTGACAACCCTCTTAATCCTGAACATGTAAAACCAGAAACAATTTGTACTTTATAAAAGTTTGTTTCCTAAATTGGTTCCACAAGGGACCATGCTTGGCTCTCTCTACGCAAACATAAGCGCACAGTCCTTAATTGCGGACTCTTCCCAATTGTATAATAACTTTATTCTATAATTGGAAAAGTCCGCCCACATTAACTGAAATCGACTCTTGTTATATTTATAATTGAAAATTAGCTTGTATTGTTGAGCCTACACATCCTTTTCTTTAATATATAGAAATATAAAAAATGTAGCCATTGTTCTGAATTTGTATTATAGTTATGATGGCCGTTTTGACGTTTGTCCGCTCATCAAGTTTCGTATTAATTCATAACTACGTTGAAGGAGCTAATTGCTGTTTATTGTTGTCAACAGTGACGTGCAGTAAAATTGTAGAATTTTATTTTAAAACACAACTCGTTTTTGAAATTAGTTTTACGAAATTCGAAATTTTTTAAAATGAAATCTAATACGATCGTCACAAAATTCTACGAACGAGTTGATAACTTTTTATGATTAAATATTGAGAGTAATAAAATTTCACGTATACGTAATTTATTTCACGAAGTTCGTTTTAATTTTAATATAATTTTCATGTGATTAAAGTACTTTTGATATGTATGATTACTAGTGGCCTTATATTATACTAAGAGCCTGTACACACGGTATATATTATACGCGCCGATGATGCGTGTATTACGTGCGTTTTCGGCGCCGTAAACGCGCGTCGTCTGCGTATATACGCGTCGTAGACGCTCTGTAACGAATCGATTCAGATGCGCGCAAACATCGCGTTCCAAGCAAGAAGCATATATATATTCCACTGGAGGTTACACTTAGAATTTCATGTAACTATTAACAAAACTAAGATTATATCTATCTCTTACCACGATACA